CAAATGGTACAGCTGAGAGTTTGAGTTCAACTAAGAGTTATAAGACAATTGGTAGAACCTAAATCGAATTGATAGTATAACCCTAGATCTATTTGATACAAAATTAGTCTACATATAGTAAAACTCTAAATCGATTTTCACAAAATTAGTCAACCCAGAAACTGACTTTCTGAAACTCTGGATCTATTAGATGAAAAATTAATCTAATCAGAAACTCACCTTTTGAAACTCACTTTTCGTCCTTTATAAGAGTCAGATTTTGTATCAGATCGACGTGAACTGAAACAAAAATATGGTTTCAATTACATCAATATTAAATAAGAATTCAAGGAAAGAGGATGGAGATATAATTATAAAGAAGTGAAGAGATCTTCCATTGCAAAAGAAAATTTAAGAAAAATGAAAAGATGAAGACGACCGAAAAGGTGAAAGAGGTTGTGAAGAGAGAAAGAGGCGGAAAGGAGTTGTAAAAGAAAGAGAGATAGATAGTTAGGTTTTAGGTTAAATAGTAGTTGAAGTGGTAAATAATAAAATTATTTAGGGATAGAAAGGTATTTTCTTACGTTTTGGAATTAAATAAAAATCAAAAAGAAATTGTAAAATGTACTGATGGCATATGAGATCAGTTTCTATTCTATTGTGGCATATGAGCTATTGATCCATTAATCACCACTTTCCCTACTGAGAACCCTAAAATCTAAGGTAAACTACTTACTAATCATGTTTAATCCCATTTGTTTAAAGTTAAACATAATCTGATAAGATTAAAATGCAAAGATGATAAATCTAAACTACCAGGGTGCTAGAAATAAGATCAAAAGACAAGATTAATCCATAAAAGTGCAAACTTTATTGAAGGAAAAGATTCTAAGAAAAATCGCCCTTTAAGGTCTAGAGCAAGATGAAAAGAGAGAGTTTTTGATAGAAAGACTAAATTTGGATCAAGATAATGTTTTGTGGCTTCTCTTTTATAGTAGGGAACCAAAAGAAGCATTAAAAACCAAAAAATAAGATAAGGTCAACAAAAGTCAAGTGGTCAACGTGCGGATGAGTTGCATCGAGGTGGTACGGATGGTGTTATGCTCGATGTGCGACCTCGATATGGCTCGTGCAGCTCGAATCGGTTTCCCTGCTCAATGCTGGACCTCGATGCAGACCAAAGACTTAGACTCCTCGTGTCTTCTTCCTCACATCTTGCGGCTTTCATCGAGCACACTCCACTGAGGTTTTGCTCGATATCCTTGCTCGATATGGACCAGACTTTGCAAAAGCTCCTTGTTGACATCCTTTTCGAACATGAGCTGCTTCCATCTCCTTCCCTACTCCAAGAATCTCCAAAAACACCTGAAAATCACCACAAACATGCACATGTGTGCAAATGCATGCATTCCTAAGCTAAATGCATGAAATGTTGATTCTAAATGCAAATAAGACAAAAATGCTAAATTATAATGCAAAAACAAAGAAAAAGATGCATGAAATGCAGCCTAAAATGCTCTAAAATAGCAAGCTATCAGTACAATTATTGTACATCAACTTCGATCAATTTATCAATAAAATAATTATGATTATTAGATCTATTTTGATTTGGTCCGCTAAATTTAATTTAGGATCCAATCCACATTTCCACACAAACATTATGAATTATCTCATCAACAATGGTTTTATCTGACCAAATCAACTTTTAAGGTTAAAATGTTGTCTTTCTTTTTCGAGTTTACACCCAACGGCCAATTCTATACTTGGATTAGTCAAAGTCAACCAGTCCGATCAACATCCAATCAAATCTACGATCAAATTTATTTCTCTTCACCAAGTTTCAAGCTTAATGGTTCTTTCCATCTCTTATTCTAGATTGACCAATTCATACCCAAATCCATCCAACCCATACTTTTAAGCTTGATGATGTAGATACTTAAAAGGGTGTATTCGAACAAAAATTTAGATTAAAATAATCAATTATGTGTTATTCAAACATAAATTTATAAAAATACTTTTCAAATATAGTGTTACCAGGCTACTATTTTTTTTTAGGTTTAAACCCAACGACCAATACTATGTTTGAATAAGTGAATTAGTTTAAATCATTCGATCAACCACTGTTCAATCTAAACAACAATTGAACTTATTTATTTTGGCCAAAATTCAAGTTCACTACGTAATTCTCCAATTAATATAATAATTTGCACAAACATTTATTATTCTTCCTATTATTTTTAATTGGATGGCATGGTGTGAAGTAAGCAAATTTATTTTAAAGCAAATAACATGAAGTCATGCCATATATATATATATATATATATACCTCTTTTATTGTTCTATTTTCTAAATAAATTTGAAATAAAAGACAAATTTTATAAAATATTCATATATGAATAAGAGTAAAATGGAAGTTATTTTTTTTTTTCATTTAGTCTTAGAGCATCTCCAACCACAAATCTCATGTTGAGGGTTATATATCCTCAAAATAAGGATTTAAGGGTTCATTGCTTCAATGGTAAAACCTCAAATTCATTCTTAAAAAAACTTAAGTTTTGCATTATAGTCCTCAATATTTTTTTTTTATTAATGTCCTCAATATTTATATTGATTAATTAACTTGTTGACAATTTGATTTCATCAAATGAATAAATTCTTAATCTCTTGAAAGACAATACATAAAATTGGGATAAGACTTATGAGATGGCTCAAATACTGTTAACAAGTTTGAACTCTATCGATGATAATAATACGCACGAGTTTGTTTGATCAAAACAAGCAAGAATCATCCAAAAAAGAACTGAAGAAGAACAAGACCAATCATCGGCTATGCCAAAATTTTGTGGACACATTTTTAATGGTCTTAGAGGTTCAGGATCAAAATTTCTTGAATACTAGTATTTTTTATATGAATCTTAATTTGTATTATATTTAATTTAAATTTTCATATATAATATTTATTATTGTAGTGTGATTTTAATTTTTATTTAAGAAATTTAATATTATTGTTGTGGAAAATTGTTTTCTTCTGTAGAATATTTTTATATATTTGTGTTTATAATACTAATGTATTTATTTGATTTAATATATGATAGTTAATGTTCTAAAAATATATTTAAAATATATATGAGATGTATGATAATAGAATACATTAATTAGATTATTTATAAAATAAACAAAATTAGAAAGACTAATAGAATACAATACTTAATTTAATATCACAGAGAACTTGTCCTCTTTCGTTTCTTCTTCTAAAATCAAAGATCATAAGAGAAAAAACAATGATGATGTCGATGTTCTGCCGGATTTGACAGATAAGATACTTTCTAGTGTTCCTGCAAAAACATAGGGTTGATGGCAATCTACTTGCAAATGTTGGAATGCTTTATTCAAAGACCAAGAATTCATCAAGAAACACTCTGATAGAGCACCAAAGCAGCCTTCGGTTCTTACATTGAATGAACATAAAATCTCTTCCCTTGAGCTTCAACTTCCATGGAATCAACGCAGCTGCTCCATTTATAAAGTCGAGAGTTGAACTTTACCTTAGAAAATCTCATTCTTTTTTTTTTTTCTGGAGGACAACAACTTGATATATCTATAGTGTTTCAATATGATGGTTTATTGTTATGTACCACCAAAAACTATAGACTTTTCCGATCTCCATGTTGCATGTCCGTCCGATTTTCGTCTTCTATTATACCGTCAACATTTTTCGTCACTCTGTATTTTTCTAAATTTTTGTTTGTTATTTGAACAAAAGTAAATCGACAAAGTCCCATTTCGTTGTTTTTATACTATATACATCTAACTTCAATTGATGTTGTTTCACCATTTAATTTATATATAGAATGTTTAATCATTTTCTATGGTTGCATCGTTATAGATAATTATCAAACATATATCCTTAATACCACCAAAAGAAACATCTACCCTTCAAAATATGGAAAAGTATTATAACCAACCAATATCCAAAACATTAAAAGAAAACTTTAAATCCTCCAAAACAATCCTGTCCTTGAAAATCATGATAACCAATCCAAATAATCCAAAACCAGACAAAAATAAAAATATCTTTAACAGCAACAACAACAATAGGGGAGAGAATCATCCAAAGGATATTCTCTCACTCAAGCATGATTAGGACAATTGAGCAAGAGCTTGATCATTCGAATAGTAGGTCTGACCAAAACACTCACTATGGCCACTTCTCATTCACCCATTTCGGATAGTGGTTGTGTTTGGATGGTTTGAGAAGTTGGCGAACCTAATGAGTTACCTGGCTCGAACAAGAGATTGTTTGAATACCTACGTACGAGTTGCGAGTTTCAACGATTTGCTGTTTCTCAACAGAAGCGGCTGAGGTTACCATTGTTTCTTGGTGCTTGTTCTTGGATAAAACGTTGGCGGAGTTCATCACGCTAACAAAAACAAAAACATTTAGTACAGATTACTTTTTTTTTGCATTTTTCAAGGTTAATATTGTTTTTCCATCGTTTCACTATTAGAGTGATGTCTGTCTACTTATCTGATATATATATATATATATATATATATTCACAATCAATACACAGTATATTTGTACTACATATCATTTTATTTCAAATGTAGATGTATATCATCTTGTTAAATGAAAAACTTGATGATAGATGAAACAAGTATCCAAAAAATATAGAAAAAATTATTTATTATGACCTACAATGAGAAAATATTATAGAAGTAGGCTCCTTTAAAGAATATTTGATAAATACTAGCGTTATCTTTTTAATACTTTTTTTTGCAAACTAATAAAAGATTAAATGCAGAATAAATTATTAACTCATTATTCAACTGAAAGTAGACTAAAGGTAAACTAACTGTAGACTAACGCTACACTGATAATACATTAGTCAACCTTTCTTACAATTATTCTTATAGAAGGTCCCGTTTTCACATTAAAATTTAAAAATAAACTATTTAAACAAATGATTCAAAAATTTAATAGTGAAATATTTTTAGATAAACGGAAATAAAATACTTACCATATCTTTGAGGATGGCGTTTTCCAAACGCAGTTTTTGGAGATTGCGCTCGCGTTTGTCTCTACCAAAAGAAGGACCTCCACAAGCTGGACAAAGCACATTCTTTAAAACATCTAGCATTGCTTCATTCTCACATCGGATCTTATTGTTTTCACCATGAAGTAATATGTTAGAAGATCTTTCATCTTGAGCCTATATAGCATATCAAAACATTAGTTTAGAAAAATGTCAATTTGTTGAGATAATTATAAGATTTTTTTTTATAAAGATCTGCATAGATATATACTTTTCTTTGAGTTCTTTTGTTCTGAAACCAATATTTGATCTGGTCCTGATCGAGATTCAGCTCTTTGCATAACTTGCGTCGCTGTGATTCCCCCGGATTAGGACATTCTTTGAAATAACTATATTCATTTGTAGGAAATCAAAAAGTAATCTGTTATAATCCAAAATCGTAATAGTTATTATTTAAATTAATAGAGTTAATAAAGATTTTACCCTTCAAGTTTCTGGATCTGTTGAGGAGTGTGGCGATGACAAATCTTATTCTCTCTTTTCTTAGCGTCTACCAAAGTATGTTGTTCATTGTCTGAGCTTCCACTACCATCATAATCCATTTTGGTCTTCACAAAACAAAAAAATCTACATTTCTTTTTGTAATAATGTTGTTTTTTTTTATAATTCACAAAATAATTAGCATTTATATGGAAAAGGGTGGTTGTAAAAGAGGTTCATAAAAAGGAAAAATACGGATATTTACTATTGGAGTGAGTATCATTATATGTTAAAAGGTAAGTTTTATTATTTTTTAATTCAAATATGTATCACAGTCAGAGATATAAAGTAGTGTTTTTGTGGTGTACAAATGTACTGAGGTTGAACCAAATATATTTATGTAAATATAGCAAAACTTAATTTATTGCAAGGAGATTTGTTGTCTATTTTGTTGTTGGTCAAATCATGTTTAACGATGAACTCAGCCAAATTAAATAAACATCTTTTTCTTTTAGTTTATAATTGATTTAAAATACTATAGATTTTAAAAAAACTAAAATACTATAGATTTTGAATGAATAAATTTCAACATACCTAATAACAAAAAATTATTTTAATATTTAATAAATCTTTAAATTTTACTATAGTGTTTTAGTTTTAAACCAATAGTTCGAAAGTATATAATATTATTATTATATTTTATTTTTCATATGGAATTTTGTTTTATAATGACTGTGACATATTTAACTTTCTATTAATTTTTATAATTTTATTATTTATAAAAGTTTGAGGTAATCATTAATATCATTTTTAAGTAAAATAGTATAAAACCAAAAATTAGTTAGTTTATTATATATATATATATATACATACAGCTGATTCCATAAATATGAATACCAAAACTTTTAATGTAAATAATAATAAAATGGAAAGAAAATTAATTATTTAAAGATATGCTTCAAAAAGAAAAGAATCTATTACAATAATATCATCTTTTCATCTATCTAAAAACCTGCAAAACTATAGTGATGTTGCAAATGGTCGGACTATGATAGTAGTGTATGAGTTGATGAACCGTTTTTAGGCAAACCAGATTGTCAACAACTAGATCAACACTGATTTACTTTGAATAAAAAAACATGAATTTTGAAGTTTTTTTATTTCAAAAACTATATTTCCGTGAAAAACTAAACTAAACTGACTAGTTCATGATAGAATTCAGTGAACATAGGATCTTAATCTCGGCCACGAGTACATTTACTGTTCATCAACTTTGATAAATTTGTCAATAAAATAATTATGATTATTAGATTTATTTTGATTTGGTTCGCTAAATTTAACTTAATATCCAATCCACAGTTTCACACAAACATTATGAATTATCTCATCAACAATGGTCTTATCTGACCGAAACAACATTTAAGGTTAAAATCTTGTCTTTCTTTTTCGAGTTTACACCCAACAGCCAATTCTATACTTGGATTAGTCAAAGTCAACTGGAAATCATCCAATCAACATCCAATCAAATCAACGATCAAATTTATTTCTCTTCACCAATATTCAAGCTCAATAGTTCTTTCCATCTCTTATTCTCGATTGACCAATTCATAACCAAATCCATCCAACCCATACTTTTAAGCTTGATGATGGAGACAATTAAAAGGGTGTATTCGAACAAAAATTTAGATTTAAAATAATTAATTATGTGTTATTCAAACCAAAATTTTTTAATCTACTTTTCAAATATAGTGTTACCGAGCTACAACTTTTTTTAGGTTTAAATCCAACGACCAATGCCATGTTTAAATAACCGAGCTAGTTTAAATCATCCGATTAACCATTATCCAACCTAAACAACGATCGAACTTGTTTCATTTGGCCAAAATTAAAGTTAAGTACCTAATTCTCCAATTAATATATTAATTTGCACAAACATTTATTCTAAATGACAGTAAATATACACAAACATTTATTATTCTTCCTATTATTTTTAATTGGATGACGTCGTATGAAATAAGCAAACTTATTTTAAAACAAATAACATGAAATTATGTTTCTTGTTAGGAGTCAAGACACAGAAAAAACTTAAAACATATAAATCATGCCATATATATATATATATATATATACTTTTATGTCTTTTATTGTTCTATTTTCTAAATAAATTTGAAATAAAAGACAAATTATTAAATTTTATAAAACATTTATATATAAATAAGAGTAAAATGGAAGTTCTTATATTTTTTTTTCATTTAGTCTTAGTGCATCTCCAACCACAAACCTCATGTTGAGGGTGGTATATCCTCAAAATAAGGATTTAAGGGTCCATTGCTTCAATGGTAAAACTTCAAATTCATTCTTAGAAAAACTTAAGTTTTACATTATAGTCCTCAATATTTCTTTTTTGATCAACGTCCTCAATATTTATATTGTTTAATTAATATGTTGACTATTTGATTTCATCAAATGAATAAATTCTTAATCTCTTGAAAGACAATACATCAAATTGGGACAAGACTTATGAGATGGCTCAAATATTGTTAACAAGTTTGAACTCTATTGATGATCATATTATACACGAGTTTGTTTGATCAAAACAATCAAGAATCATCTAAAACAGAACTGAAGAACAACTAGACCAATCTTTGGCTATGCCAAACTTTTGTGGACACGTTTTTATGGTCCTAGAGGTTCATGATCAAAATTTCTTGAATACTAGTATTTTTTATATGAATCTTTATTTTTATTATATTTAATTTAATTTTCATATATAAAATTTATTATTGTTGTGAAAACCAATAAGAACCCATGAAAAAAAAATTGTAAGGGTCGTGACCTAAGTGTAGATAAATACGGGTCTGTTTCGAGTCATTCTTCCCAGCCGCAAATTGTTTTAATCAAAACTGCTTAGTCAGAACACAGAAGGAGTTGAGAGATCGGTTCTTATTGTCTTCCAGTTTCACCGTTGCTGTCGTAATCCTTCGCCTTCGCTATCGTTGTGATTGGTGTGTGTTAGCTTGAGTTGTTGTTGTGGGGGATCGTTGGGGACGTAAGAAGTGAGAGATTTGTGAGAGAGAAGCATATTCTGAAACTCTATAATCAGATCTTGTTCACCGGAGAAACCAGAACCACCAGAGGAGAGAGAAAAAGGATAAAAAGAAAGAAGAAGAAAAGTCTTGTTTGGAAGGGGGTTTTTCGGGGTAATTTCCCGGTGAACCAGAGAGATCCAGACGACGATCTACATACCGTTGGAAAGCTCTCTCTGTCAGCTATTCAGATCATCTTTCCGTTATTTATTTGGAGGTATATTCGATCCGCAAATCCGATCGCAAGTTGTCGCGAAACCTCTGTATTTATTTCAGAAAAATCTCAGTTTAGTTCCAGTTTTAAGTAATGGTTTTGGGTTGCGATTTCAGATCAGATTTGAGCTAGTAGTAGAGGATTGTTAGTGGGTTGCGGTAGTGGACGTTGCAGGGAAGGTGTAGGAGCAACCGTCACCACCGGAAAAGGTATAACTTAGCTACCACGTCGTTAACTTGTTTACCAAGAAACCTTTTGTGTGCCAGAATTTTTTCAAACCAGAAACCCTAGAACTGATTTTTAAGTCGTTTCTTGTTTTGCAAGTTTCAGTTTAGATTGTCTAGATCAGCTTCAATCAGTGCTTTTCCAGGAATCAGATCTGCTTAAGTCAGGTGAGGGTTGTGATATGTGGAAACACAATTCACATTACTTCTATTATTTACATAAGTCAATATGCATAAGCTTAGACCTGATTGTTAGAATAGATTGTGTGATGATGTGCCTAGGAAAATAAAATGATATGATAGGATGATATGAGATAGATTGTGTAATATGTTATGAGATATGTTATGAGTTATGTTTTGATATGCTATGTTATGTATGTATGGCTGCCGAGCCCGGAATGGGAGTGTCTGAACACGAGGCCAGCCTCCAAAGTATGGGGTTTTAAGGCTATCACGAGGATAGTGCCGTCTACGGGACGCATAAACCTCCAGTGTATGGAAATCTTGCTTCATTCGCAAGACTCTTGATATGTGTTATAGCTTGATTAGTAAATCCGGCTATATGCTTTCTAGTGTCTAGAATTATGTGTTTTGATGAGTGTCAATATTCATAGAAATGTTAGTTATGTTTCGGTGGGCAGAGATGATCTCCTTCACTGAGTAATGCATTGCTCACCCCTTTATTTTCCTTTTCTCCAGGTCAGGATGAAAATCTTGAGTAGCTGCTCAAGTTTGTTTTGTTTCTTGGTGTTATTTCGGGAACCGAAATTTATTCCATTTAAAGATAGTATTTTTCTAAGTATTAGTTCGTGGGTTTTTATGAGATTTTACTATGAGGATTTTATGACTTTGATGACATTTTATAAGGATTTATTTTAATAAGAATGGTTTCCAAAAATAATGGTTTAAAAAACATGTTTAAGAAATGAAGGGTGAATCCGGATTGGAAATGTGGTAACGGGGTGTTACAATTTTGGTATCCGAGCCAGGTTAAAGCTAAACCGGTTCTGACCCGGGAAGCTGAGTTTTCAAAGAAAGTTCTACTTATAAAAGAAAAACGTTTTTTTTATGGGAAGGGAAGTTTTCAAAAACTAAAAAGCACCAGAAGAAGCAGGACTTGAGCATTAGTTGTATTTGTGTTAAAGTGCAGGATTTTTGAGTTAGTTTTAAAGTTGTTGTTATCTGGACAGGATGCCACCAAAGAGATCAGGACGTCCGGCAAATGCGAGGGTGAACCCACTTGATGGTGCCTCAGCTGATGCTGCTGCAGCTGCCCAGCCAGCAGCAAATGCAGTGACCTGTGAGGAGTTTCAGAAGCTTAGAGGCATGTTGCATGACCTTTTACAGAACCAGATGCATCCACCACCACAGCAAGCTGCTGCACAGCAGCCATTTGTTCCACCATCACCTCCAGCAGGGATGCCACCACCAGGAGCTGGACTTTCGTATGATCACACAGTGAAGTTCATGAGAGACTTGGGTATGGAGACTTTCACTGGTGATAATAATCCAGTCTTGGCAGATGATTGGATGAAGTTATTGGAGAGGAATTTTTATTCCACCAGATGTCCAGTGGAGTATAAGAGGGATATTGCAGC